CGATGGATCACCGACGGTATGTGACCACGTACAGAGAAATCACGCATGCGACTCTGCCACAGCCCCTGTCTGCTAACTGTCCCCACACAGATATGTGCTGGTAAGGTCCTCTTATATCTTTGTCCTCTGGTTGTCTAACAAGTACAAATGTCCACTGTGAATATTTAAATTCTGCAGCTGACATCAACACTGGTCATCATGAGATTTATTTTTTCATTTAAGAAAAAGTAAGACTGGGTGCAGCAGCTCAATCCTGTAATCCCAGCACTTTGGGAGGCCAAGGAGGGAAGATTTGCTGCAACCAGGAGTTGAGACCAGCCTGGGCAACACAGAGAGACCCCATCTCTACAAAAGAATTAAAAAATTAGCTGGGCATGATGACGTGCACCTATAGTTCCAGCTACTCAGGAGGCTAAGGCAGAAGGATCACCTGGGCCCAGGAGGTCAAGGCTGGGCTGAGCCGTGATCGTGCCACTGCACTCCAGCCTGGGCAACAGAGTGAGACCCCAACTCAAAAAAAATTTTTTTAAATAATAACTATTGGAGACCAGAGTTCAAATTGGACAGAACTGCCTTCTAGACAAGCCATTGTCATAGGAGCTGGGGCAGCCAGCCTCAGGCTGGTTCCAGTCAAGTCTGGAGGAAAGTAAGAGTTAATGGCGTCAGAAAACAGCAAGGGGGGGCCTGTTGGGCAGGGTAAGTCCCGCATGGAGCTCGCTACTCAGCACCAGTGACCTCAGAGGAAGCAAGTTCGTTATCCTTTGCTTTCGAGGCCCTCACCCTCTCTGAGGAGGACCTCTGCATCTTGACCTCTGGCAACCTCGGAATTTTCTGGCAGCCTCTGGAACCAGGGATCATCTTTTCAGAAATCAGCTTGGCATCGTTCCGTGACTTATCTTTCAGGCCTCATCACAATTATTCATGCTTTGGCAGTATCCTAGCTACAGACACAGCACTCTTCTAGCGTTGATACTGAAGGTTACTCTGTCCCAGCCGGGGAGGGGGGGGAAGAAGCAAGCACCCCCTCCTCAGGACCCTGCCCTGGGAGGCATGCTCCCCATAAGGGAAGGGGCTTCAAGGCATCCGTTCAGAAGCCACTCAACCTCCAGCCCACAAAAACAAGCAGATAGGTGAAAACAACACAAAACAGGATGGGTCCCCAAATCGTGGACACCGTGGTGCTGGAATGTATTCCAAGGTACACTCGCTGTACACCGGGACACGCATTCAACCCAACACAAATGCGCAACCCCGCAAATGCACTGCCCCTGGACTATATAAAGATGATCCTGTACCTCTTCATTACCGATGGCAAATACTTTCTGGTTTTACCTTTTTTTTTTTCCTCTTTCACATCCTGCTTCTATTCAGTGGCCTGCACTTCCTGCTTTGTATATTTAGATTACTTTCAGCACGACCTCACATCCTGGCCAATTGCACAGGAGCTGCTAATTGCTACAGGTTTGCTAATGGCCCGGACATCTACGCATGAGGAGAATGGGTTACAAGCAGCAAAATCCAGAAGGCAATAGGCCAGGGTGGGTTAGAGCTGGAGCTTTGGAGAGAGAGGCACTTGGGTTTCAACCTCAGATGACCTGTGTGGCCCAGGGCAACTAACTCTCTGCGCCTCTGTTATCTCATCCAAATGGAGATCACAATAGCCCCTACCTCACAGGCTAAGATTATATTGGATAATATCTATAAACAATTTAGCACAATGCAAGCTATTATTATTACCATTTAGGCTTTCATATTACAAAATAGCTTCCTCTCTCTTGTGTCTACATATTCCTAGGATCCAGCCTGGCTATCTGGTCCACCTACCCACGCCTCCAGGAAGCACTCGCAGATTGAGCAGAATGCATTGGCATTTTTCTCCATGACTTCACAGACTTCATGTCCCACACAGATGTTGACACTCCCCCCAGCTCATACACCAGGCAAGCTTCTCCAAGATCAAGAAGGCTGACCTCTCAGCAGCATCTCAAGTAGCCCACACCTGGGGAGCAAAACTCCCAGCAGATGGCTACACCTTCAGCACCAAATGTGGAGACCACCTTCTCACTTGAGTTTTTGCTTCCCTGGGTTTGCAAAACCTTCTCATTCGGTGGCAAAATGGCTCTCTCGCTTATCCGTCTTTATTGTACAGTAAGCATATCAGAAGCTCATCTGAAGGAAGCAGACAGAGGCAGGAAGCAGTGACATTTCCCCTCCATGAGCTTCCCAAATCCAGTCCTTCCCTGTCTGCCAAGAAACTCATCCATGCTCCAGTTATTTTCCACATCACAATATTTTCTGCAAGTTCTCTTTCTGGAGCCCCATGCCGCACCCCTTCACGGTCTCACTCTAGACTATCCATGGCATTATTCCCCCTCGGTGATCTGTTCTCCAAACACCCCCTCCCCAGGGCCCATACAGAACTTTTACATTCACTCCATCACGGCTGTCTCTACTCCCACAGCTCACTCGGGCCTTCGGCCTTGTCCTCGATCCTTTGATTTCATGAACTGCCTGCAAGCAGCCCCTCCTTGCCAGGTCTTGAGATTTCCACGTGGCGCTTCCCAGCCCACCTGTGCATGCATGTTCCACACATGCTCTGCATCCTGCCCCTGTGGGCAGCCAGCAGCGCCTGGTGTTCGGAGATCATCCGTCTAAACTGAAACCTTGTCATTTATTATGGCAGTGTTATTTATGAGCCTGTGTGCCGTAACCTTGTGGCATAAATATTAAATAATACCTCTTGGGTGAAAAAAAATCATTCATGTTAACTGACATCTTCTTATGAAAATACGAAGTAAATCCACCCACAACATTTGGTATTGGCTAATTTTGAAATATGAGTAAAAGCATGGATTGCTCAACAGGTAGATGCAAAGGCAGAATTACAATTTGCACTTTTACACTCTCTTGCTTCAAGAAATGAAACATCCGAGAAGTAAAAGGTGTTAAAGAAAACTTGGGATGTGTAGTAAATTTCTTCAGCCTCAAATTCTAATTCCTGTTAGTATCACCTAAGCAGTTTTTAGCTCCCGAAAAGGAAGACTCTGAATAATGACAATGCCACATAAATGAATTCCGGACAATGACACTGCTCATTTTTTTTAAAGCATTCTGTGAATTTCCTATTACATCAGTTTCATGATTCAGCATTTTCCAATTCACTTATTTACAGTAATATATGGCGAGATAACCCAAGGTTTCTGCAGGATCCTGGAACACAAGGTAGGCTGGGCAGGAAGGGTGTCGCCTTCTGGAAATTCACTATTGTTCAGGAGAATTCAAAGCAAAAGAAAGCAAGCCATCAAAAGAACTCAGAGAGATTTCCCCACCTTGGTCTGAGGGTCTAAACTACTCTGGTATTTCCGATGAATGGGTTTTGAAAAATAGGTTACTGCCATTTAGCTGATGACTAAAACAGAAGCCAAGAAGTGTGCACATTGCAAACTGACACGCATGAGCCAAACACATTCTCCGAAATGAAAACGTTCAAGACGCAGCCGAAGTCCCCACTCTGGCGGCAAGCGTGTTCCAGAGAACTCGCTTTCTTTCTGGCACCCGCAACTTGGCTGGAGTGACCAAGGAGGAGCTGAAGAGCGCTGGAGAGGCGAGGTGCGTTGGCAGAGCACCGTCCGGGCCGGGAAGGCCCGGCGGAAACTCGAACCAGGGTCGAGGCGGGCGGCGGGCGGCGGGCGGCGGGCGGCGGGCGGGGG